CCATTGGACATTGACAATCAAGTCAAAAAGGGGGTCTCTCTTTCTATCACAAGAAGAACCACACCAATCAATAAACAACAATRGTATGATTTTTGGACCCTCAAATACTCTGAATATGCTTATGCGGGAATRTCTGTTGGCTCCATGTCACAAAAGGCTCAAACCCTGGAATATTTTCTAATCCTTAGTAGGTCTTCTCCAATGTTTTATTTTCACCTTCCTCTTCCATTATGAAGATTAGGGGTCACAACTCAATTCTATTTCTATTTGCAACACCAGGCTAAGAAGAATGTAAAAAACAATGTTTCTGGTTTTATTTTCTGCTTGCCTTTGTTATTCTTCCTTTCCAATGACTGCACATAATTTCCTCAGGCAGTGATTGTCCAGTTCATACCGGTTCTTCCCCGATAAGTTGTAGAGACAGTGTACGTTTCAACAACATGTCATATTGACCCCATCCTGTTGTCATGTAAGAATCCTAAATTGAAGTACTAGTACTAGTAGTATATTGTGTAACTGATCAATATGCAAGCATWCATATGTAGTACTTTAAGCATGTTGGTGAGACCCRTATCTTTTGAATTCTTGTTGTGACTGTTCTTTATGTCCATGTGTTATGTGAGTGCCACAAATTGAGTGCAGCAGAAGGCTTCTTCTCTCTCCTGACCTAAGAATCTATATTATTGTTCAAACAATACCCAAAAAAACCTTTATCGCACTCATGACACCCACCACTTTAATCAAGCACGATGTCCTGGCCAAAAACCATCTGCTGTGGGGTGGAATGATGGGTGACAGAATGGCAAAATAGTGCACAATCCTCCAGCCTCATGCCAATATTGTTTTCATGAATGGAACTCAAGCTATTCAACCAATTSTTCATTGGTTGGTATATGTTTGAGGAGTACTATGCATTGACTAGTACTACAGATTCATGGGTCTGGATCACATCAATTCTAGCATCTTCTGTGGAATTTGTGAGTTGGAATGGTTGCCAGAATGGCAAAATTAGTTTGGATGAACTGAGATTTGTGCTACAGAATTCTCAATGAAGCTTACGCATCGTGCCTCTTGGTGGTGGTAAGGAAATGGCAATTTTTGTTCAGGAAGTTGTTTTCTTTTTGGTTCATCATATACCCATCTTGTTACAAACATTCTGACTGGTTTGAAACGTTATACAATGTGGAGCAACCTGTATCTTGGTATAAAATCACACAAAGGTTTGGATGTGACCACATGTGAATGCTGTTGGTGGTATACTAACTGCAACCTAAACCAACAGAAAAACATGGGCACATGGGCGCGATTTAAAGAAAGGGGTATGTATGTTGTTAWAAAAAAGCTCTGGAGGGGATAGGAGGGGTTCCATACATTTTTTGTGACGTTTTTGTTGAGATTTTTTTCTGAAAAGGGTTTTACAGGACCATTGCCAATTTTTTTCCTTTCTTCAACAATACAGTGTTATTTTGTGCGCAAAATTAAATTTAACTACCTGCATTCTCATTATTTCTATTCTCCAGTAGTATTGAATGGATATTTTTTCATAGTCATTTGTGGTACCCAACTGTGCAAAAAGCCAAAAACCCTCTAGGAAAGGATAGATGCATATTGTTCAGGAAAATCACTTTACAATAAGTACTAGTATGGCCTCTTCTTTTACTAGTAGTAATAGTTCATGAGATTAAATATAAACTTGAGATTCTCACTGTCTACCCTACTACTAGTACCTTGTACTACTACTAGAACTATCATGGATTTGAACCTTAGTATTGTAGTACCTAGTACTACTATTCTGTATTAGTACTAGCTTGACCTTTTACTGTTCTTTGTTTCCAACCATTGTTGTTTCAAGTACAGTGTAGTAGTAAGTGTGCAATGACCCAATAGAGGAATGACCAAAGCAAACATCAAATCAGAACAAAAGAACAATGGGCAATTCCCATTAATAGATGTCGTACTACTAGTACTTTTCTTGATAGTACTAGACTGACACACTGAAAATTTATTACATCTGTAACAATTTTTATTACATTGTTTGATACAGGTCAAATTGGTGGTAGTATCAAATGCAATAAAGTCTATTATGGAACTCACAAATGACCAGTGAACAACTAAAAATAATGCAAAGGCCCATCGCATGCTCCTGGTACTACTGCTACTACTACAATGTGCCTCATTTTAGTAGTCGCTCCTACTACTAGTACTAATTAGGTTGTTGAACTAGTAGTACTACTAACATTCCACCAGATTCCCAAAAAGAGCAGCCGGCCTTCCTCTTTGTCGTCTGTCTGTTGAAATTTTGGTTCTCTTTATTACAAAAGTAAGAAATGTTCTAAATCTATGGGTTTAGCACTTCTACCTCCATGAGGAATAATAACGGGAGTGGCCCAATCAATCAATCAATCGGTCCCTATCTGATGATTCCCTTGCTCTTCCCTGCCGGATGCCGGATCAGATGTGAGTAACCGTACGGTACCCAACCCGTCCGTACAAGTGCTACTTYATGAGTATGTTACGTGTACTCGTACTCGTAGTCGTGATTAGTCGTGAAAGTCTTCGTTTCGACGCGGTTCGCT